TGAGGGGAGAGAGCAAGAAGGGAGCGGCGAGGGAGCCTCTGACAGGGATGGGATGAGGGGAGAGAGCAAGGAGGGAGCCTTTGACAAGGACGGGATGAGAGGAGAAAGCGAGAAGGGAGCCTCTGACGGGGACAGGGTGAGGGGAGGGAGCGTGTGACAGGGACGGGTTGAGGGGAGAACTCGGCGCGGGGCGGGAACGCGGGGGTAAAGGAGGACCCCCGGCAGGGTGTGTAAATATTTAATAGAGACCTCGTCGATGTGTGTAAATGTCTAATAGGGCCCTCGTCAGGGACTGTGAATGTCTGAAGGGGGACCTCGTCAGGGTGTGTGGACGTCTAGTAGAGACCTTATCAGTGTGTAAATGGCTAAAGGGGCACCTCAGCTCTGCGTGTAAATGTGTAAATAGAGTCCTCATAAATGTGTGTGAATATCTAAAAGGAAGCCTCATCAATGTGTATAAATGTATAAATAGAGACCTCATCAAGGTGTGTGAATATCAAAAGGGGGCTTCCAAGAGGGGACCTTGTCAATGTGTATAAACATCAAAAAGGAGGTGCCAGAAGGGGACCTCGCTGATGTGGATCAATACCTAAAGGGGAGTGCCCAGAGGGGACCTTATCAATCTGTATAAATATTGCAAGGGGGACCTCATTAAGGGGAGGTGCCTCATCAGTGTGTATCAATATCTAAAGGGGAATTCCAAGAGAAGGCCTCATTAATGTGTATCCTGTAATTCTCTAAGAAGATGGATCCGGGCTCTGCTCGGTTGTGCCAACTGCAAGGATGAGAAGCAGTGGGCAGAAACTGCTGCCCAGGAAGTTCTGCCTGAACATGAGGATGAACTTATTCACTGCGTAGTGACCGAGCACTGGAACAGATTGCCCAGGGAACGTGTGGAGTCTCCCTCATTGCAGATATTCCAGGAGTGTCTGGACACAATCCTGTGCCATGTGCTCTACGATGGCCCTGCTTGAGCAGGGAAGTGGGACCAGATGACCCACTGTGGTCCCTTCCAGCCTGGACCAGTCTGTGATCACAAGTGCCACACGCACTCTCCTGGGCAGGGACATGGTGGGGTTTAGGTGGGTCTGCAAAATTCCCAGCCCCAGGGGCAGTGGGGACATGGGACCCCCGTTCCCCCACACTCAGCAAGGCACCGGGGGAGGCTGCAGGAGCTGGGGGTGGCAGGGCCTGGGGCTAACAGGGCATGGGGGGGCAGAGGGGAGGCCTTGGCTGAGGGCGTTCTGCTGCCATGTGTGTGGTGGCACCTGAGGTCACACCACCTCCATGTCTGCACTGACCCCTGAGATATTGTCACCTCCATATCTGCAATGACACTTCAGGTGATGCTAATTCAGTGTGTGCACTGACACCTGAAGTAACATCACCTCAGTGTCTGCACTGACCCCTGAGGTAATGCCCCTTCAGTGTCTGCAGTTGTACCTGAGGTAACGTCGTCTCAGGTGTCTGCACTAACACTTCAGATAAAGCCACCTCACTGTCTGCACTGACCCCTGAGGTGATGCCACCATTGTGCCTGTGGTAGCACATCTGTGGGGACTGAGGTAACACCAGCGTGGTGCGTGAGGTGGCACCGTGGGGCCTGCTGCTGTGTCTGGCAAGTTTGGGCAGCAGCACCACTGCCGTGGTGATGTCTGAGGTGGCACTGCTGCCCTGCCTGAGGTGACACAGCTGCTGTGCCTCAGGTGGCACCATCAGAGTCTGCGGTCACATCACTGCCATGTCTGAGGTGGCACTGATGCTGTCTGAGGTAACACCACTGCAGTCCCTGAGGTGGCACTGCTGCCGTGCTGAGGTAACATGCAGCCATGTTCCCCTCGGGCCAGCTCCTCCTCGCCCTCACAGGGAAGGATTCCTTCCCAGTATCCCCTCTAACCCTGCCCTCTGGCAGTGGAAAGCCATTCCCCCTTGCCCTATTACTATCTATCCATGTAAAAAGTTGCTCTCCATATTTTTTATAAGCCCCCTTCTAGTACTGGAAGGTTCCCCCTTGGAACAGCGTGCTGCCTTCCCATGGGAGAAGCCATGTCCATACTTCTGCCTCATTCCCATCCTGCCATTCCCAGGTCCCTCTGGTCCTGCCTGGAGCACTGCTGCTGCTGCTGCATTCCAGAGGCTCCAGCACCAAAATTGCCCTGGACTGTGCACAAACAGCCCTCCTTGCTTGACTGTGCCATTTTCCCCAAGGACATGGTCTAAATGATATGAAACATGGAGTGCTGTGACTCAAGCAGCCTTCCAAGGAGGTGTTTGTGTCTGGCAGGTAAACGGGTATTGCTGATTGACGCCAGCGAGCTATTTATAGTGCTCTGGCATTACAGGTGGCAGAGCAGAACAAGGCCAAGGGATCAGCAGAGGCCTTTCCGTGCTGAAAACCCAGGGATAAGAGAAGAACGAGGCCCTCTAGGTTTTAGTTCACTTTTTTATTTTGACTGTAATGCAAACAGGCATAAGTATTCCATAAAATCAGAAGATTGGAACTATACAGAAAGAGGTGCATGCTTCAGAACAATGTGGATATCTTGCAAACAGAGCCAGAGTCAGTCCGAGAGAGGGGCTGGAGTACATTGGACGAATGGCAGAGGTTTTAGCAGCATTGAGAGCTCGGAGGTAGGGGAGAACCACATTTCTGACCACGCTTGAAGCACTGGTAGGACCAAACACAACAGCGGCTCAGCCCGCTGCCACCGCCCCCACCTCCTCGCTCCTCACGGGAAACCCACCTTGGCATCACACAAAAAGCTACAGAATAAGCTCCCCCCTCCCCTCCGCACGGGACCTGTCGTATGTGATGCGAAGTGAGAGTAAAGACAATCTTAAATCATGGCATCGTTCCATAAACCAAATGAAGGCACAGTGACATGAGGAGGCGCTGAGGGGGAGGGAGGAGGGAGCAGGAGGGCCAGAGAGCAGCCACGGCTTGGAGCCTCGTCCAGCCCAGCGGAATTTACCCACATCTGAAGAGTTTAGAAAACCTCTGCAGCAGAAAGTCTGGGAGTTGCCTGCCCCAAAGCTGCCACCCTCCCCAGAGCAGCCCCCTTCCTCATCGCGGCACTGCTGCTCTTCAGGAGAAGGCCACCAGGAAATCAAAGAACCCAAACCAACCTTTGAGTCTTAGACTTTTCAAAGGTGCCTAAGGGAGCCCAGGGAACAAATCCCTGCTCCTATTACAAAAATTAATTGGCACTGAATATCAAATTCCCCGGGCAGCTGGCAGAACTCATGTTTCTAACTACATGCAATCTAAAAAGCAATGAGTCCTGGCTGAAAGTCATCTCGCTGCTCATCCACTGCCTGGGGAATTGTGTGCACTCTGGAAAAGCTGCAGACTACTCACAAGCTCTTTACAGCACACAGAGCCCAGGGTTTTTAAAGGCATCTCAAGGCAGCAGAGCATGGGAATTCAACCTTGGGAATTGTGGGGATTTGCCTATTTTGTAGAACTCTAGCAAAGCAGGGATTTGGCATTGAATCTCACTGGCTTCAAAGCCATCGTTTCAATGCTGGAGGTTCTGAAACATCGTCTTCTGTTTCTGTTTCCTGACTACTGTAAAGTGTATTTTGTTCAGACATGATTCCATGCCACGATCACACAGAGAGGAAAATCCAAAAAGCAGGCTCAGAAGCAAGTAGCATTAATGTCTCGGATGATTAAGGCCGTTTTGTTGCCCTTGGAAAATTTTGAGATCTCCCTTAGCAATTACTGTAGGAGCAAAACACTTGATTTAATCCGAAACAAGCTGATATACTGTCTGCCTGCTTTCTGGTTCAGAACCAACACGTGAAAACAAAGCAACAAGCTCTTTCAGGTCAACTTTTTCAGCCTTTAGTCTTTCAGTTTTTGAAGTATTAGGGGTGCCCTTGGAAGAAAAATACTTTGCCAAGGATTTTCCCTGGCAGGTTCCTGCACCAGCCCTGCAGAGACCTGTGCACAGGCCTGGCAGGAGCTGATCCCCAGCCCAGCACCGTGTTCCTGCTTTTCCACAGCCCCAGAGCAGTTTCTGCAAGCTTTGGCCCACGGATACAACAGAAGCCCCTGGTGTCTTACCCACTCTCCCCCCCCCCCCCCAGCAGGGAGGAATAGCCTTGGCTCCTGATAAACCAGGGATTTTCCAGGCAAGGCTCATAGGTCTGATTTATAGGTCTGATTTCCTCCCTTTGAGGTGCTCCCTCCCTCCTCCCTCCCAAAATCTGGCCAGGTAGGACACAAATAAGGCAGTGAGAGATTCTCACTGCTAAACAAGCTGCCACTGCTCAGCTAGGAACTCACTATCTGTTTTTTTTTCCTTTTTTCCCTGTGATTCAATGGCTCAAAATTCCATCACAGCCAAACACCTGTAGGGGTGGAGGCCAAGAGTTTCCAGTCTACTTCATTCCCAGCATAGCAGGAAAAAAGGTGGATTTGCATCACAATGCTTGAATATTTCATGAGTTACCTGCGCTAAAATCACGACAGTTTTGACCTCTCCTGAGCTCTGTTTTACTTCTGGAACCAAGTGCTTTAAAGCAGCAGCCCCTTCAGCTTTCTCCCACTCCCCTGATTCCCTCTAAAACAGGCAGGGCCATATGGAAGAAGCTGGAGCTCAGACCTCCCTCAGAGGGTGGATTTCAGATGGATTGCAGGAGCCATGCATTGCAGGCACGTGCAAGTGCAGATTGACACAGCAAAAATATTGCCATCATAAAACTGCTGCTGCTGCTGCTGCTGCTGCTGTGCAAGCCTGATCCTGCAAGCTGCCCAAATCCCCAGGGCCACTGAAGCTGGTGGGTGTGGAAGGCATTTTGGACCTGGGAGCACTTGGATCCTACACTAAGTTTGTCCACTAAGTTCAGGAATACAGTTTTTTAAGAGCGCTGGCCGAATTTTGCTCTTCCTGCTAGAGAAGAAGAAACTGTCATAACAAAGAGAGTTACAGTAAAGTTGAATGGTCCTGAAAATGTGTCTCCATCTGTTCTGTAAAGGGACTGGGCTCCCCTTTGGAACTATCAATGCAATTGCAAAGTTATCGGAGCAATTCTGAAGCTGGGAACTGGTCCCCAGTGGAAGAAGGAACAAAATTTAGTTTTGAGCATGAAATTATCCTTCCAAAAAAACGGTGGGAGCCCTCAAGAGGGCAGTCTGGCGGCTTCAGTGGTCGTATGTCAGGAGGCAGCAGCTTTGGCTTGGGCTTGGTGCAGGTCCATGAGGCTTCAGACACAGACACACCCTCTGCCCCCCCACCAGCTTGATCAAAACGGGCTCTCCAGCAGGAGGAAGCTTTTCACAGACCCCTGGTGCTCACAGTCTGCACCCACACCTCCACACCCCCTTAAATCCCCACCTCTGGCAGAGGAGTCGCAGAGGGCAGCTGAGCAGGGCTGCAGGTTTGCTCCCTGTGATGACAGGGGCAATTTGCCCACCCAGCATTTCCCTCGTGAGACGAAGCCGGAGAGCGGGAGCGGGAGGGCGGCCCCGCAGCAACGGGCTCTTCCCAGCACAAGGCACTGTAAATCCGTGCCCGTCCCCAGGACCTGCCCGTGCCGAGCAGCTGGCTGCACCTTCTGGCTGGGCAGGCAGGGCTGAGGGAGAGAAGGGAGGGATCTCCAGAGGGAAGCGGCAGAGGGAGCCTGGTTGCAGCCGGGATGGGGTGGGAGGCGTCGCACACCGACAGCGAAGGGACCGCGGGAGCAATGACAGATGGACACGGGTTCACGCAGCTCCTGGCGCTTCCCATCTCCTCTCCTGCTGTAGCCGTGGTCCTCCTCGCTCAGGGCACAGCTGCAGCTTGCCTGGGCATGCACAGACACGTTGGCTCGGGGGGTGAACAGTCCCCTGCTCGCCCCTGGGGACACAGAGGCACAGGAGGGGACAGGGAGGGAGGACAGCCCAAAGTCAGAGCCATTTCTCTGGCCAGGAGGGGTGTGACGGGCTCAGTTCCTCAGGTGTGATGAGCTCAGACCTTCACAGCCACAGCTGTGGAGGTGACATCTCTGTGAGGCCACTCCTGAGGGCAGACATCTCACTACTTTCCTGCTGTCTCTCACAAACAGAAGAACAACAAACTCCCAGGCCGTCCTTCTGGGGAGATGAAACACTTGAATTTCATCAACAACACAGGCACCGGGTACCCTTGCACCGAAGGAGCAACTGATTTTTCCCTGCTGGTGGGAACAGCAGGTTGGGAAAACAGAGAACCCTTTTCCAGGAGTTTTCAAGTCCATAGAATGCCTTTCTGTAGATGACTGAAGGACCTATGAATCTTTTCAGAAAACCCCCACTTCACTGTGTCTTGAAAAATCAAATCTCCTGTTTAAAGAAGAGCCTCTTTAGTACCTGGGGAACAAAAAGGAGCAGAGCTGCTCAAACAGGGTGATGGTGGTGGTGGATATCCACCAGGAGAGGGACTGGCACACTGGGTATGGCTGGGTGTCCACGAGTTGCCCTTGCCATCGGACCCCTGGGGGGCTGTGCAGGAGCTTGGATGGGCAGCAGGCACCTGGAGGTGACAGATTTGTGAGCTGAGTGCCCAAGGGGCACAGGCCCTCCACGTGTGACACCCCTGAGCAGCTCATCTGTGGCAGATCCCACCTCACCTTCTGCATTTATTCATGCCAGAGACATTGTGACCACACCCACACGTCAGAAATGTCACATGGACATGGGCAGAGTCTAGACAACTGCTGGAAGAGCCACATTTATGGAATAATAAAGCAGATCCACAAGTTTCTTTCCCCCTGTGCTGCAGGAGAAAATTAAGCTCGAGGGGAGCGTGAAGGCCCTGCAGGCAAAGGGGATGAAGGAGAGAAATTCAGCTGTCTGAGATTGACTCAACAGAAAACACTGAACCCAAATTCCCAGAGTGGCTTGTGAGGAGTGAGTGGTCCTATTCAGTGGGAGCAGAGAGGAGCCCTGGGGGATATAAACTCCGTGGGCCTTCACGGCAGGGATGGTGTTTCTTCTCCTCCAGGGCCAGGCAGGGACCATGGCCTTAAAACACGTTCATTACTTCCCTTCCAAAGGGCTCTGAAGGACTCACCGGTCCAGTGCCTGTTGAACGTGGGAGGGTTTTACCAGTTCCCTGCTGTTTCCACCAGCAGCTCAGGCGGAAGGGGGAGATGGAGGTGGCGAGTTTTGGGGTGTGGGAAAAGCAAGCCCGTTCAGCTCAGACACAGCATCCAGCTGAGGTATGATTGCCAGGTGGGAGGTGTTACAGCCATGCAGGCAGAAGGCAGGGCAGGAGGAAACTACTTGCCAGCAACACAGGGAGAGCTGGAAAGAGGATGAAGACAAGAGCATTTCTTTGGGCACTCCCTCCTCCTCAGGTCGTATCGCTCCTTCTCTACCAAAGGAGGCCCAGAGCACAAAGCCCAGAGGCAAAACTGAATTACCCCAAAGGAGAGGATGAGTTTGATTTTATTTCTTTAGCTGTGTTTCTGCAGCCATAGGGTTGGGGGGCAGGACCAGGCTCTGGAGCCCGGGAGCTGTCCCCACAAACAGCTCCTCTGCCCAGGAGGCAGCAAAGACACCCAGCAAAGGGACCCAGCAAAGGGACCCCCATCCCACTGCCCGCCTCGGCATTAGGGCACAACCCACAGAGATGCACCGTGGGCTGCCCTTTTCCCTGCCCTGCCCTGCCTTCACCTCCAGGTCCCGAAGTGCCCGGGGGATGCTGACACAAACCTGGCCGTGTCCCCGTCTCCTGCCAGCCCGGCTAGCTCGGCTCCGGCCACACCGTGGCAGCATTCGTTCGCATTTCACACCTCCCTCTGCTGGGACCGGCAAAAACCAGGCCAGGATCTCACATTCTCCCGGTGCCTGGAGGAGCCCTTTCGCTCCTGGATTTTGGGCTGGAGTTTCTTCAAGCGTTCAGGGAGCCAGAGCTGCAGAAGACGGTCACGGCGCGTGGAGATGTGGCCAGGCAAGAGGAAGGAGAGGGCGGGAGGTCTCGGATGAGGGTGGGAGTAACAGCACAGCCCTGGACAAGGGAGCCAGCACGGCTCGTGCGGTGGGCTGGGAGAGCAGCAAACCTCCTGCAGCCGTTTCCGTTCTGACTTTGGCTTAGGGCAGACAATCTTAGCGCTCTGAAAGCGAGCTCACCAGTGCAGCTCCTGGACAAAGCCTCTGCCGTGGCCGGTTTCGGTGCTTCGCTCCGTACGAGCCTCAGTGCACAGCTCAGCAGAGCGGGGGCAGGAGGAAAGGACCAGCACCTGCCACCTCAAAATGCCAATCTCCTCTCCCTGCCTCCAGCCAGAGCTGCAGCCACGTCCTGCTGTCCTTGTCCTGGCAACGAGGGAGGACAAACCTTCTTCGGGGTGAGGAAGGGAGGAGGAGGAGGAAGGACGCACAAGGTCACACGTGCTTTACCTCGCAGGCAGCTCTTCCCTGTTAAAGGGACTGAGACCTTTGTGTGTTAACAGCTTGCTTTTGGGGCCAGGTTTTTGCAGCAGGGCTGAGGTGTGAGGGTGTCAGAGCCCAGAATCACACAGCACCTTTGCAGCTGACCTCACCTCCCTTCTCGCAGGAGATGTCCTGGCCGGGACAGCTCGTGCTCCTGCAGAGGAGACTGGCTCACCACAGGGATGCCACACTCATTTCTCTGGCAGGAGGTCGCTCCACGCTGGCATTTTCTGCTCTCAAAGCTGTGGAAGTGGCTGGGGTCTGCTGTGCCAGACCTGCTCTTGACACCGTGCTAAGGTGGAGCTGATGCTCTCTGGGGTTTCAGGAGTCCTCCGTTGGCACATCCTCACCAAGGACCTGGAGCCTCCACAACCCTCCATGTGCTGCCTTCCAAATAAGCCTTGTAACAAGAGGTGCCTCTTGCAGCTGGAGTTGGAGACACTTCTCTCCCATCCTCATGGCTTTCCAGGCTCACCTGGGAGAGGGTTCACAGCGTGCAGAGCTCTGGAACGCAGCCAGTCCCAATCTCTCCCACCAGCATCGTGGCTGCAGATCCCATATCTCCTGTAAAACCCTCTGGAGAACTGCCACAAGCTTTTCCTCAGCATGCACATCAGCCTGCATGTTCTGTGCTTGCTCCTCTGGGGGAAGACTTTCATGCCAGCAAAAGTGGGGGACTGAGCAGAGGGAGAGGCTCACAGGGAACAGGGAGCAGAGGAAGGGGCAAACACAGCACAGAGCCCATTTAGGAGAAACCATGACACATAAATCCTGACACAAACAGACACATCTGTACCCAGGCTGCCTGGGGGTGAACAAAATTCACAGGCACGAGGGCACTGCACATCATCTGCCCCCAGCCTCGGGCATATGTACAAGTCTAAAGGAAAGCCATGAAAACACGAGGATTCAGCCGAGCCCCGAGCTGGGGAAAGGGGGATCCTGGGGGGAACGACCCCCTGCTCTGGTCAAGCAACAAGGCCAAGCCATTGCCCACCCCCTGCCACTTCTGCTCTCCCCCAAAAACACCAAAACGGCGGGTGATCACGAAGGTGGTGATTTCATGCAGCTGCAAAGTGCCCTCGTGAGAAGGAGGGGAAATGTGGAGTTCTGTAAAGAGCCACTGCGGGTTATAAAGCCATCGTACTTCAGTGGGGAAATCCAGGGAAGGGAAAAGGGGGATGGGGGAGGGGTGTGGGAAGAAATGGCCACAGGACAAGAGCAAGAGAAAGAGGAAGAAAAGGAAATAAAAATCATCATCATCATCATCAGGACACAACAACAGGACGAGAGACAGAACGCTTTCCATGGGCAGTTCCCCGTGGAAAAGGAGCCACCGTGTCCGTGAAATACAAAACCCAGTGCCCTCCAGCTGGAGGGGGCAGCAGGTGCTGGGACTGGTTTGGCATCCCCTTGGGGTGAAGGGTCCAGTTAGGAGCAGAAAACCCTGCAAGGGAAAGGGGAGAAAGGCCAGCCTTAGGGGAGCGGTGAGGAGCATGGGATCATCCCAACCTGGATTTGCCACAGGCAGGGATTTAGAGAGTCCTTTGCAGCTGGGTGAGGTGAGCAGGAAGGGAACCTTTATCCCTCTCTCAGGTGCTCTTTGAGCAGTGCAGACCCCAAAGTATGTGATGCCTTGGGAGGAAAATTCCCACCAATTCTCAGGGATGTTGGGAAACCCAGTCTGGGTTAGCACAGGGAAGGGATTGCCCCCCAGGCCACTGAAGACCAGC